TTTAAATACTGAAAATGTTTTAAAACACAAATAAAAATCATTTTTCTTAAAACCCACAAAACAACAAAAAAATCAATAAACATTCATCAAATAAACTCCAAACAACTAGTTTTTAGTTCTCATTCAGAGAAAAATGTCAGCTTGATTGGGTGGCTGAATGAATGGTTGGTTGGTGTGTTTGAGTTACTGGGTCCACTTCAGGGTTGGACATAATCGTATCGTGTGCAATTAATCATCAGAAAAACATTAATCAATTATTTTTTGCCACCTGACGATTAATACAGTTGATGTCTACTTGGTGCTCCTCTCTTCGAAACATTAAAAAAAGTTCTGTAATTTATTTATCCAACAACATAATATGAAGTCTGCAATTTTTACACAATTTGGAACAGACTTTTACGAAGGGCAAACATTTCCCACTAAGTTGGTCATGTGACCAGGACATAAGGGTGTCCAGGGACTCCAGGGGATTGATCATCAAATTAATCATTATCGGCTAAATAACACAATTAATCGTGATTAATTGATTTTACCAATATTGCCCAACCATAGTCCACTTTCATTAAAGACAAAACCCCAACCACTCAGGTCAAAGGTCATCAGTCTGTTGAGGCACAGTACAGAGACAGAGGATGAGGAGGACATAAAGTCATAAAACAGATTGGAATTTGCACAAATCCAAACAGAGAAGCAACCAAGCTTCTGGGAGGATGTTCTTTGGACAGAAGAGACTAAACCAGAGCTTCTTGTCAACAAGTCCCATCAGCAAGAGTCCGTAGACCCAAACATGGAACAAAGAACAGAACCCTGGTTCGGTTCTGTTCTTGGGCTGTTTTGCTACATCTGAATCTGATACAGAAGAATGAAATCTCAAGACTATCAAGGCTTTTTGGGGAGAAATGTGCTACTGACTGTTAGAAAGCTTGGTTTCAGTCGGAGATCATGGGTTTTCCAAAAGGATAACGATCCAGGACACACAAGAATGGGTCAGAACCAAACACGGTCCTGAAGTGTCTTTCTGAACCCTGATCAAAATCCTGTTGAGAATAACTGTAACATCTGGAGAAGGAACTCTTCAGACCTGAGACAGTGAAGCAGTTTGTTCATGAGAAATGGACCAAAATACCTGTAGACAGGTGCAGAAGTCTCAGAGACAGTCCTGGACCTGTGGACAGGTGCAGAAGTCTCAGAGACAGTCCTGGACCTGTGGACAGGTGCAGAAGTCTCAGAGACAGTCCTGGACCTGTAGACAGGTGCAGAAGTCTCAGAGACAGTCCTGGACCAGTAGACGGGTGCAGATGTCTCAGAGACAGTCCTGGACCTGTAGTCAGGTGCAGATATCTCAGAGACAGTCCTGGACCTGTAGTCAGGTGCAGATAGTGTCAGAGACAGTCCTGGACCTGTAGACAGGTGCAGACGTCTCAGAGACAGTCCTGGACCTGTGGACAGGTGCAGAAGTCTCAGAGACAGTCCTGGACCAGTAGACAGGTGCAGACGTCTCAGAAACAGTCCTGGACCTGTAGACAGGTTCAGAAGTCTCAGAGACAGTCCTGGACCAGTAGACAGGTGCAGACGTCTCAGAAACAGTCCTGGACCTGTAGACAGGTT